CAGTGGTTGAGCCTCTGGCTCAGGGTGTCATCCCCGGGTCCTGGGATCGAGTCCCACATTGGGCTCCCCACAGGGAGCCTGCTTCTCCCTCTATCTGTGTCTCTGCCTCTCTCTGTGTCTCTCATGAATAAATAAATAAAATCTTAAAAAAAAAAAACAGAAAGAAGGAAGGAGAACCTGCAAAATTATTCATCCTTCATAACTGCTTCAAATCAATGGCGGAAGCTTTGTGGGTTCACACACCCTGAGTGAAGGAGCCAGTCCACACAAGCTGCCGCGGGTTGTCTCCTCGGGTTCAGGCGCTCTGGAGGACTGACTGGAGCCCACCCCCATGACCCCATCTCTCAGCCTGCACCCCAGGCATTGAGCCCTCACTGTGGGACAGAACTGGCTTATTCTTGAGGGCAGCCCAGGAAGAAGCTATCCATGTCATCAGGCTGAAACCACCGCGGGCTGGCCCATCACGGGGTATTTGCTAAGGACGGGGGCACTGAAATAAATCCTGACTTTAAAAAAGAAACACGCCCAAAAGGTGTTCTATTTATATGAAAATCAGCTCCATTTTTAGGTAGCTGTCCTCACCTCCCCAAGACAGGCCCTGCCCTCCCACAGCCCCCTCCACACCCCACCCCATAATTAGGGCTCACCTGCCCCCATCCTCTGCCCTGATTGCTCTTTGGGGTTTCCCTGGATTGTAGGGTGTGAGTTCCAGACACCCGAGGCCTGTCTCGTGCCTGACCCTCTCTCCCTCCCTCCTTCATTTCCTCCCTCCCTCCCTCCCTCCCTCCACAACGTGATCTTTCAATCCCAGAGGTCACAAAGAGCAGGCCAGAGTCAGGCCTTGGGTCTGGGGGAGGGGGGGGGGACGGGAGGGCAGGGAGTTGGTCTGTGACGCAGTGGCCCCTTCCCTGAGTCATAGCAGAGCAGAGTGGACACTGGGTGCCAGGAGCCAGGCCCGGCCCCTCCAGGGTCTCTGTGGGGCAGCAGGACCCACCCTCAGACACCCCCTCCTCATGGCACAGTGAAGTGTGGGCCTTTGGAGTCAGCATCCCTTCCGGGTTGGCTGCCCTGGGGCTGCAGTGTTTGGGGGCACCCGGCCCACCTCCTCAGTCCTTCCTAGCTCAGACCCCTGGACGGAAAAGCCCTCCCTCACATGAGGGAGGGTCACACTAGGCAGCAGGGAGAGTGTCCTGGCTGCCCGAAGGGCTGTGTGGGCCACCCTGCAAGTGGGGAGTGGCACACACACGGGGGCTTCCTATGTGCTCCTCGAGTCCCCTGCCCCCAACGGAGACCCCTGCCCCCAACAGAGACCCCTGCCCCTGGCCATCCAGCCCTGCCCCAAGCCCTTCTTTGGTCTTCCTGCTCCTTCACCCCTATACTAGCACGCCTTGGCCCAGAGTGTCACGCAGGCCAGGGGGAGATCCTGTTGGGCCAGGGGTCCCAGGGGCCCCTCAGCATCCCGGCAGCTTCCCAGCAGCCAGCCAGGTTCTGGAAAGGGCCCCGGGCAACCAGCGGCAGGAACCAGGCCTCCCTCCCAGCTCAGGCTTGGGCTGTGGCCAGCAGCAGGCTCACCGCAGCGGTGCTGTCCCGAGAGCCAGACCCCACCGCAGGGACAGTAAGCTGAGAAGCGCTGGAGCTATAAATGTCAAGTGGCCAACCACGGACACCGCAGAGCCCACCGTGGGCAGGAGCTCCCCGCCTTTGGAAGCCGGCCCCCCAGCTTGGGCTCTGTCCAGGCTGCTGGGGCCCTGGAAGGAGGGCCTGGGTAAAGCCCGGCTGGGGGCAGGATGGACAGTACGCTGGCGGGCACTTGGTGTGCCCATGGTCAGGGCCTCTGCCCAGCAGCCCCCCTGCAGCTCCCCCCCCCACTCCACCCCCGCCAAGTATCAGCTTGTTTTATGTAATATTTCTGGAGCTTTGTGCTTCTGTGGGCCTTCTCTTTGCCCGGAGTGGTGCCAGGTAACAGCTTCAGACCCATCTGGAGGCCACCTCGTGCACACTCAGGGTGACCTCGGGTGGACCTGGGGCCCGTGTGTCCCTGACAGGCATCCTCCCAGGAACAGCCGAACAGGAGGCCCCAGCAGAGGCAGCGATGACGGAAGGAGAGCCAGAGCTCTTCAGTGGCCGTGCCCGGCCTCCCCCCACTCCCACCCTACAGACCAGGTGGGGGACAGGACTGTCCAGAAGGTGCAGGGAAAACAGAGAGATGGGAGGCAGGGCCCTGCCCTCCTGTAATACCCTGACCCCTGACAGTCTGTCCCTGGCACAAGCCCCTGCCATTAGGCTTGGGAACTGGCCAAGAAAGCAAAGGTCACTCTCCGGTCTGTCACCTGCCCCCCAGGGAGCTCAGAGATGAGCCCCAGGTCTCTGGAGAAGCCACATGGGGGCCTGAGCATGGCCGTCGGCTGGAGGCCCTCAGGGAGGATGGTGGACACACGTGCCCCACCCCCCCCAGACTTGAGGGAGAGCTGGGGAGAGACACAGCTAGAGCTCCCAGACACATGATGCCAGGCCCAGGGTCAGGGCTAGGGACATCGCTGAGGCCTGGCCCCACAGCCCATGAGCGGACGGTGCTTCCCAAGCTTCCCAAGGGGAAGGGGAAATAGGGAATAGGGGAAATTTTAGGGGAAATTAAAAAAAAAAAACCAGGCTGGACAAGACATTTACTATAAAAATCATTCAGTATTTCTTATTTACAATGGACTGTCCACTTTGCAGGAGGGCAGAAGAGGACACTTTAATATGAGGGAAAATACCATCTTTTCGTGCAGAATGAATCAGTAGTCGTTTCTCATCCAACCTAATCTATGAGCCTGCTCTGATCTATTCATTTATCCAAATGTCTAAAGATTTCATTTATTTGAGAGCAAGAGAGCACAGAGGGGCAGGGAGAGGCAGGCTCCCTGGTGAGCAGGGAGCCCGGCGCAGGACTCTATCTTAGGACCCCGGGATCATGACCTGAGCTGAGGGCAGACACTCACCCGCTGAGCCACGCAGGTGAGCCTCATTTATCCAATTTAAAGACAAAACTATTAAATGGGAAAAACCCAAAGAGTCAGCCTATACTATGTATGTACCAGGGGTGCTCTAGGTGCAGAGGACGTGGGAGTAAGACCTTCCACTCTTGAAGGCGGGGGAGAGACAGAGGAAGGATGTCGGGAGTAAATTATGTCCTAGCTGGATGGTGGACAGAGTCACAGGGAGAAAGGAAGAGCGGTTAAGGAAGCTTGGGGTGGGTTAGGGGAGCACGGGGCAAGTTAGGGGAATTCAGGGCAGGTTAGGGGAGCAAGCACAGGGAAAGTTAGGAGAGCTCAGGGCCAGTTAGAGGAGCACGGGACAGGTTAGGGGAGCACAGAGCAAGTTAGGGGAGCTTGGGGCAGGTTAGGGGGAGCTCCGGGTGGGTTAGGGGAGCTTGGGGCCAGTTAGGGAAGAACGGGGTGGGTTAGGAGAGCACCGGGTGGGTTAGGGGAGCAAGGGGAAGGTTAGGGAGCTCCAGGTGGGTTAGGGGAGCTAGGGGCCGGTTAGGGGAGAACGGGGTGGGTTAGGAGAGCACGGGGTGAGTTAGGGGAGCATGGGGCAAGTTAGGGGAGCTCAGGGATGATTAGGGGAGCTTGGGGCAGGTTAGGGGAGCCCAGGGCCAGTTAGGGCAGCTTGGGGTTGGTTAGGGGAGCTCGGGCCGGTTACAGCATCTCGAGGCTGGTTAGGGCAGCTTGGGGCTGGTAGAGGTGGGACAGCACCCCATAGGCGCTGGGAGCAGCAATTTGTCCCATGCTGCCAGGTCAGGCTGAGTCCATGGTTCCCAGACACTTGGCAATGAGTATTCATCATTGCAGCCAGGGGGTGCAGATGGAGGCTGCTCTTGGCATCTGGTGAATAGAGGTCAAGATGCTGCTGGACATCCCACAGCGCACAGTACAGCTCCCCACAGAAAGAATGATCCTGGCCCCAGACACCCCCAGCGCAGAGGCCAGGAAACCCTACAGAGGGAGGGAGAGGCGTAGGAGAGATGGCCCGAGAGGTGCATGCTGACCACGTTGTTTTTGGAACTGGAGAAGCTGATTCAGAAATTCTTATGAAAAGTTTGTGAGAATTGCCAGGGGGGAGGGTAGGTTATAAGCAATAAACAGAGAGTAACCAGCTTCACCAGATCTTAACAGACACTCTCACTATTCCTCTGCTCACTGACTAGTTTCCTTAATATATAATGAGTTCTTACAAATGAGTAAGAAAAGACCTCTGGGGGAGGAAAAATGAAGAAAACGGAGTTCACCAAAAAGAGACACAGATTATAAATATCTGAAAAAAAATTTTTTGATGCTTCTTGTTCCATGTAATTTAAATAAATGGGATGAAAATCATGAGATAATATTTTTCAACTACTTAATATTTTTCAAGTTAAGATTGAGAAGTTTGATGGTACACAATGTTGCTAAGATGTGCAAGAATAAGGCATTGTGTGTGGTTTTTGATAATAAATGGTGGCACCACTCCCTTGGGTAGCAGAGGGTCAGTATCTGACCCAGGCTTATTTTTTAATTATTATTATTTTTAAAGATTTTATTTATTCATAGGACACAGAGAGAGAGGCAGAGACACAGGCAGAGGAAGAAGCAGGCTCCATGCAGGGAGCCCAATGCGGGACTCCACCGGGACCCCAGGGTCATGCCCTGAGACAAAGGCAGATGCCACACTGCTGACTCCCCAGGTGCTCCTGCCCCAGGTTTAAATGCACACACCCCTTCATCCAGCCTGCCATTCTGGAAAGGACTCTCCTCACATGGGTTCAGGGAGATGCCAGCATGGACTCGGTCACTGCAGTGTTAGCAGAAGCCTGGCATGGCCAGCACTGACCGGCTGCCCGTTCCCAGGGCTTGTGTCTTTGCCGGGTTGCGCTCTCCCTGGAATAAGATGCAGCTTTCAAACTACCTGGGGCCTCTAACCCTGGGGGTGCCCTCACCCGGAGAAACACAAGCACACGCTCACGAACACATTCCTGCAGAGAGAACACAGCTTTATTCAGGCCAGCCCCAGACCGGAACACCCCTCAAGGCCACCCAGGGGGATCGGCCAGACCGCAGCCGTGCCCTAGGAGCCGCTTAGCAACAATTGCGAAGGAACAAACATCACAAGCATTTTGTTCAGCAGATGCAGAGGTTTAGGGGAACAGTGGTGGCCGGGGGGAGGTGTGTGTACAGGGAGGGAGGAAGAGATGTGGATGGGGGACAGGCGGGGGTGGGTGTCGCTCACAAGCTGCACACAGTTGTGAGCGATGCATGGAACAGTGTGCTCACGACCCGCGCAGTTGGCTGGATTTTCACGTTACCTCAATTTAAAAACAAAACAGGCTATTGGATGAGAAAAGAGTCAAAATTCACATGTCCCGAAATGGAACGTTCTCCAAATAAATTAAGGGGAGGGGCGGAAACATGGATGGGCACTTTGTGCAGGACGCAGCCCCTGTGTGACGGAGAGGATGCATGTCTACAGGAGAATTTCGTGCAGATGGGCTGTTTCTGGAAGGACAAGAAAGATGCTGCCAGCAAATCCCATTCTGGAACCGCTGGGGGCCTCTTGAAGTGGCTTTGTGCCCATGGAATTTCTCATGCTGGGTTAACAGTGTTCACTTTTTAAATATAAAAACTCGCCATGTCTCAGAAGCTGAGTCCCAATGTTCGTCTGCCCTGGGCCATCAGCGCTGGCGGGTGGCAGGCAGCCGGGGGCAGCCTGTGTCTCCGGGGTGGACGTGGCCATCCGGGCAGGCTGGCCAGGGAAGCCAGATCCTGGATCCTCCCCTAAGGAGGGTCTGGGCTCAGAGCGTCAGCGAGACACCCAGTTCCAGGGCCAAGGATGAGGATTTCTGGCATCACTTGTGACCCTGGTGGGGTTCCTCTATCACTGGCAGCGCGGCTTGGAGAGTAGTCCTGGTCACAGGATCACGACCCTAGCTGACCTCAGCCACCTGAGCCAGGTGCTCAGAGGAGAGGACGGGGTCTTGGGCACAACCTCCTTCCAAGACATTAGAGGCACAACATCAACGGGGGAGAAGGTGTGGGAGGGCTTCCGGCAAACAACTGAGCCCAGATAGAGGCCAGGGAACTGACTCCACGCCAGGCCAGCCTGGGGACCCTTCCTGATAGAAGCTGAGGCCCCACCAGGGCAGGAGCGGGCCGGCTCCTCCGAGGGGAGGGCCAGATGCCCACAGTCCCTGAGCCCACGTCCACAGGGGCTCCTCCCTGAGCATATAGGCCTTGGGGTAGGTGGGATTATGGCCCCTCACCAGCCTGTGCACAAGGCCCTTGGTGGGTACACAAGGAGCAGCGGGTGCGAGGGTGGAAAGTCTACTTGGAGTTGTCACAGCCACTCATTTGATGCACAAGTCTGGACACATGACTTGGTTAGGTGTTAAAAGGACACACGGGTCACCAGGGCCAGGGTCCCCCCGAGGACACAGGGAACTGGACGGTGCAGACGACACCACAGCAGCATCCCATCTCATGGCCTGTGCGGGAGCAACTTTGCCAAGACGTCCCTGAAGCTAAACAACGAGCTGTGATGTGAGGGTTAGTGTCAGGAATGGAGGGGTCAGTGTCCAGAGGTCGGCCCAGAGGCCATCTGCACGCGGAGAGGCCCCTGCTGGGGACATAGGAGTGTGATCAGGGCCCCAACGAGCACACTCAGTGGCCGATCCACGGGGCCCACTCTTGGACGGCCCCAGACAGCTCCTCAAAGGAGCTTCTAAAACCCTGAATGCCGAGGGGACCACGTGCTCAGGTTCCCTCCATCCCCGGGGGCCTCGTGCCATCACCCAGGATGCCTGCCCTGCTGCCAACTCCCCTCCCAAAGTCTTCACTCCCAGATGGCCGCGACCAAAACCCATGGGTGTGAGGGCGACAACGATCCTGTAACAGCTCAGCCTGTTGGGGCCTCTGTGTCCCCAGAGCATGAGCCCACATCATGGGGCTGCTGTGAGGACCAGGGGGAGCATCATGGATAGGAGGTGGGCCCTGAGCACGTGTTCGTTCAGGCACCTGCCACTGCCTGCTGCACGGCAGAGAGCCAGGCCCAGTTTCCCATGGGGACACACTGGGCCAGGGGAACCATCCCACTCTAGTCCTTGGGGGGCCTTTCCTTGAGCCCCGATGTCCTCCGGCCCTGACAAGTGCCACCAATGAACCTGATGTGTTCCTGCTCCTGTGTGGCCTTCAGAGCAGCCCCAGGAGGACAGGTAAGGCATTGGTAGGCAGGGGCGGGCATCCCCGCAGCCACACTGCCCGGGGGCCGCCGAGCGCGGCTCGTTCTCAGCGAAGCCATGTTACCGCCAGGCATGGCTGCCAAAGCCTGGCAATGAGGGAAGCCCGAGCCCCAGCACGACCAGCTCTGGCGGCCCCGCTCTGGCTCTGCCGTGCACAGCTGTGTCCACTCTGCACCTGCCGCTGGGGGGCCCCAGAGCAGCCATCGCTGCCCACACAAGGAATGTGACCCCAGCCCAGCCACTTGGGGGAAGTAAGGGCGCTGGAGGGCCCCAGGCAGGGGGACCCACCGCCCGATGGCCCTGACAGTGGAGGGGTACACGTCGTCCCTCACAACAGAGCACGTCAGCCGGCGTGGAGCTGTGGGCCGCAGCATCCAGAAGTCAGCAGCCCCAGTGTCAGCCTTCGAGGGTAGCACTGTGCTCCCTGCGGCTCCAGGAGGCTCGGACCCCAGCGGTAGGAAGCTGCCCGGGACCAGACAGCCTGCCCCTTGGGGGGCGGTGTCCCCTGTCAAGTAATGAGAGAGACGGGATGGGGCCACAGAGAGCTGGGGGAGGCACAGGCTCTGGGTGGCCACTGTTCTCTTGCTTCCTGAGCTGGGATCCAACCCCCACTCCACCGACAACTGTGGGCCTCGGTGGGTGGACAGCAGAGCCCAGCTTGGGGCTGGCAGGTGCCCCCCCCAACCCTGGGGAAAAGCAGACATCCCCCCAGCATCCCAAGGGGCTCCCTGCGCTTCTGCCCTGCCGCCGCCCATCCCCCACTCCCCATGCTGGGCATGGGCCTACAGGAGGAGGTGGCCCATTGGGTTCAGTCTCTGTGGGGGTGTGGGTATCACTGGGCCACTCTGGGGAGTGGACCCCAAGACTCTGCTGCAAGGTGTGCGGGAAGGCGTGGGGCTCCTTGGAGGGCGGGGGCGCTATACTCGGCAGTCACAGGGCTCTTCCCTAGGTCTCGATATTCGTCACGTTGGCCCAGGCAGGGAAACGGTCCAGGTCAAATATGACCCGTCCCCAGGTGTTGATGGCCAGAAAGACACAGAAGACTCCGATTACGTTCATGATGAGTCCTGTCTTCATCTGGGGAAGAACCAGGGTCAGCGTCAGGACCCCCTGGGCAGCCAGGCTGTCGGAATGGGACGGGGAGCCGCTGCCCTCAGGGAAGGGAGCCCGTCCTGGGCCCGCTGGCTGCGCGTTCACCCTACCCCCAGGCAGAGCAGGTGCCACCAGCGCCCCCGGGAAATGGGCAGCACAGGTGGGTCCCCTGATCCCCCATGAGCACCGCCAACAGTCCACAGGAAGTGGGGTGAGACAACCCCCAGGGCCCCTGGGATCCCCAAACATGCTCCCCTCCTTTCTCCTCCTCCCCCTCCGGTGACAGGTGGTGACGGGTGGTGACAGGTGATGGAGCCACAGCGGGAGGGGGTGGGTCTTCCTCTGTCTGCATCTGTTCCAAGACATCCCTCGCTCCCAGCAGGGCCCCTGTCCCTATCCCTGCTCCTGCATCTCCACCATTACCTGCCCTGGACCTGTCTCATGGGTCCTCCTTAGATGCAACACCCATCCCAGCCCCCAGGGGCCCCCTGCCCTCATGTCTTCCGGAGGGCTCATCAAGGGGTCCCCAAGGTGACAGCCTCCAGAGCCCGCCTCTCAGCTCTGGGAGACGCCACCATCTGCAGATCTTGAGACAGCATCAACAGAGAAGTGAAGCTGTGCATAGATGCCCATCGAGAGCACGGGACCCAACATCCCACGTCCGTAGTAAACGGGCATCCAGCCTCAGCGCAGGCGGAGGGGCTGCATTTACCATGTCAGAAACCTTGAGGTGTCCGTAGGTGAAGACAATGGCGTTGGGTGGGGTGGCCACGGGCAGCATGAAGGCAAAGGATGCGCTCAGAGTGCAGGGCAGCATAACGTACAGCGGGTTGAGGCCGATGGACCGTGACTGGGGAGACACACAGGGCTGCGAGGTCACAGGCACCGCAGGCAGACACTCCCCTGTGCCCTGCGTGCATCCCGGCCCCATGCCTTTGCCCCACAGGCCCCTGGACTCTCCGCTCTGGGTCTGAACAATAACCATGCCAGCCTCCCAGGGCTGAACCTCAGAGCCACCTCCCTAGGGAGGCCCTTCCGAACGCCCTGTTCACTCAGCTGCCAGCCATGTGCCACAGACCACGCCGTGCTGGGACCACACCGGACCTGTTCCCACAGCCACCATGTGCTCACGCCTGCCCGCCCTGCCACAGGCCTCCAGAGCCCACTTCCTCCTGCCTGTGTGGGTGCATCCATGCCCTGGGGAATGTGGTGCCTAACCTTTCTACCCTCCAGCCACACCCAGCAGCGCCAGGTGCAGACAAGACATGCACGACGCATTCATTCAGTGAGCGAGCGATGTGATTCGCAATGCGCTCCCGTCTCTGTCGGAATCAACAGCCCGCTGTGTGGATTTGCACATGTGAGGACAGATGCCCGTGTGACATTACAGCAGCAAGACCCCCGGGGACAGGTTCCTCAGTGTAGCAACCACTACGGAGGCGGGCGGTCAGGTGAGACACGCGTGTACAAACAGCCGTGTCCTATGTGCTAGCGCAACAGACACTTCAAGGAGAATGACACTCAGGTGCAGAGCAGGACCACGGAATGACACTGTTGATAAAGAACATGTGGGACACCTGGGGGGCTCAGGGGTTAAGCATCTGCCTTTGGTTTAGGGCATGACCCTGGGGTCCTGGGATCGAGTCCCGCATCGGGCTCCCCGCAGGGAGCCTGCCTCTCCCTCTGCCTGTGTCTCTGCCTCTCTCTGTGTCTCTCATGAATAAATAAATAAAATATTTTTTAAAAAACCTGTGTTGCCCCCAATCCTTGATACTACTGCAGCGTATGACTGTGTCCCCTCCCGCCCACACCCGCAGCTGTGAATGCAAGTCCACAACCACCAATCCTGTAATATATGCCTGTGAGCACCGCCGACCAGCTTCCTGAGGTACATCCCCAGACACGAAACTGCTGAGTCCGGGTAGGCGAGCATGAGCGGCTCCGGGTTATGACCGCCCTCTGGAAAGGCTGCTCCCAAACGCACGCCGTCTGGCAGTGGTGGAGAGGCCCGGGCAGGGTCCCCGTCTGCTTCCTGCCCACCCCATTTGCCCTGGTCCGGGGTGTGCCCAGTGAGCATGCCCTGTGTACCTCTGTGACCCAGCCAGGCAGCTGGCTCCCGTCCCCTCCCGCAGGCGGACGCTGGGGCAGGGGCTCCAGGGGGGCCGGGACGGTAGCTGTGAAGTCTACTTCGAGAAAAGTCTGCTTTCAAAGGGCCTGGCCACAGCCTCAGGTGAAGCCCCATCTGTGTGGCTCTGGGGGGATGGGGTGGGTGGGGGCTGCTTAGGACGGAGGGAGCCAACGCTTTTACCTTCACCGAGAACAGAAGGTTTTACGTCCACATGCATGAACGTGGGGCAGCTGCACAGAAATCTGGCAACTTGAACCCTGAGCCAAGACCACTGTGCGTCGGGCTCCCTCCCAGGCCCGTGCTGTCGCTCATGGGGATTTCCACGGCCCCTCGTCCCTCACTGGACCCTGAGGACAAGTGAGAACCGAGGCGACATGTTCGAGGACCCCACAGCTCACACTCAGGTCCTCTGACCCCCCACCCAGAGCTCTGGCTGCACCCCCCCCCCGAGGTCGGAACACCGCACAGCGAGTGGTGGAAGCAAGTGCAAGGAAAGGTCACAGCTGCTCCTTGGCTCTGTTCTACCTCAGATACATGCCAGCCTGGCCCCCAGTGCCAACCACTCCACCACCACCACCCGGAGCCCTGGGCGGCTCCATCCCCCGGACATCTCCGCCTCTCACCACCCTGGAGACCTGGCTCCCCAGGACGCCTCCGGGTGGGCTCCGGCCATCGTGCCCTGCACCCCATGCACACCAGGCCCTCCATCACCCCCACGGTGCTGGCCCACCCCTCCTCACTGCGAATCCCGTCTGCTTGGCTCGAGAAATAATCAGCCACCTTTAAAAGTGAATGCTAAGTACCCGGTTCTTGCCTGGACCTTGGGGAGAAAGTGGGGTACAAAGAAGGACCTCAGAAGAGTGGTCAGGCTCTGGCCCTCAACTCATGGTCCCTCCAGGGACCTGGGATGGGGTCACAGGTTGACTGCTTCCTGTGACCTGACAGCTAAGGGTTATCTCCCCGGCAGGTCACTTACCATGGAGGCAAAGATGGGCAGGAACAGGGTGGTGGTGGCCACGTTGCTTGTGCACTCGGTGAACGCAGCGATGAGCAGGGACAGGATCAGGGTGATGGCTGCGGGGGGCACAGAGTGCAAGGGCTCCATCTGCTTCCCCATCCATTCTGATAGCCCCGAGGCCTGGGAAGCACAGGAGGGCAGTCACCAAGGGTGGCAGGCCTGCATCTCCAGGGCGGGAGACGGCCCTGGTCCTTCTCCAGGGAGCTCAGCCCCTCCTGTACCCATGACCCTCTCTCTGCCACATCCCAGACACAAGCTCCATCCTTACCCTGCTGTCTCCTTGATCTGTTTCCAGCCCGGATGATCTATTGACAGAATTTTGGCCCAGAGCCTGCTTCCTGGGGCTCCCCGTCCACTTGCCTTCCAACCTGGGACCTGGGTGTCACCCTGTGTGCCTGTATGCTCACTCAGCCACCGAGGCACCCCAAGAGCCTTGCCGCCATCTCCTCTCAGCCCCCTGAAGCTCTTGATGCTCAGGAGAGGGATCTGAGCCAGAAATGGAGGATTCAGAGGAAGAGGGAGTCTGAGGAAGAAGAGTGTGGCTCGTGGAGCCTCATGCTAAGACTCAGTTAGATGAAGGTACAGAGCACCCCAGGACTCTCTCAGCCCTCCCCTGCCACCCGGATCTCTACTCCACACATCAGGGTGTTTTCCCAAGTGCAGATCTGGCCTCAACCCTCCAGTGGTTGCCCCTGGAATAAAGTCCATGCCCCCATCTTGACTCTCAGTGAAGTGGCTTCTTCGAGCCACACCAGCTTCATCTTCTGCTCCTGAGCCTGACACTGCAGGATTATTCCATCACAAGGAAGTCACTTCTTGCTGACACTCTTCCAGATATGACCCCCTCTCCAGTCTGCAAAGGCCTCAAGTGCAGGAACATTCTCAACCTCTTCTGTAACTCCCAGGCCTGATCTAACATGGGCATAATAGGAACATTTCATGAATGAATGAATGAATGAATGAATGAATGAATGAAAGAATGAGAGATGATGGATGAATGACTGAATGGAGAGGGGGCCAGATGGATGGATTTGTTCATCCAAAAGATATTCATGTCCCTGTGATACATCAGGCTCCATTCTAGATGCGGAAGGAACAGCAGAAACAAGATAGACCAAGTCTGTCTATGACATTCTACTCCTGGATGGAGGGATGAAGGGATGAAAGAATGGATGGATAGATGGATGGGTGGATGGAATGAGGGACCAAAAGATGGAATGATGAATGGATGGACAGATGGATGGATGGATGGATGGATGGATGGATGGATCAACAGACAGAATGATGGGTGGATGGATGATGGATGATGGAAAGTCAGATGGATGGGTAGACGGATGGATGGATGGATGGATGGATCAATGGATGGATGGATGGATCAATGTATGTATGTATGTATGTATGGATGGATGAAAGGATGGGTAGATGGACAGATGGATGGAAGGATGGATGGATGGTGGATGGATGGTGGATGGATGGACAGATGGATGGATCAATGGATGGATGGATGGATGGATGGATGAAAGGATGGGTAGATGGACAGATGGATGGACAGATGGATGGATGGAGGATCGTAGCACCAGTGGGCTCATCCCTCTCTCTGCCTCATTTCTTCGCTATTGAGGAAGGGGGGGGGGCGGGAGTAAGAAGGTTACATTTTTGGGTGTTTTCTCCCCAAAGCTGTTCTTCTCCTCCTGCGCTGCCATATACCTAGAGAATTATTTTTTTCTAGAAATATATTTTTAGATAGAGAAAAAAATGTTAAATGTCAACTGTATCAACAAAGAGTCCAGAAAATAGAAGAACAAGATCTAGCAGAGAAAGAGACCTCCCAGAACAAATCAAAGCAGGGATCATTGCCGCCAAACCCAAGAGGAGACCTCACAGCATCCTCTGCGTCTCTGGGCTAACTTAGCCTCTTGGTCTCTTATTCACTCTTTGCTGCAACCACTCAAGGAGCACTTTCTATATTCCAGGTTCGTCCACCCATCCATCTCCTCCTTGGTGACAAGAGTCCCTGCCCTCAGGACACCAGCAGCTATCTGGAGCAGACAGACACAGAGCCACGACACACAGGCCCGGGGCGGGGGGGGGGGGGTACAAGAAGCAGCTCTGTGATGCCCTCTGGTGTAAAAGGGGCCGGCAGCAGGCGGTGGGGAGGGGGTCTTACCTCACATCCTTTGGCCAGTGCAAAGCCGCCTCCCAGCAGCAGCACAATGCCCCAGGGCACCTTCTCCTGGGTCACCTTCCAGGTCAGCAGCGCAGGAGGATAAAACGGAGCCTTACGTTCTGAGAAGAAACCATAGAATGCACATGCACAACCCAGGGCAGCACCAGGACGCAAGAGAGATCTAATCAGGGGGAACGAAAGCCGTGAGGACGACAGGCGCCCCTCTCACATCCATAAATCAGCCAAAACTCAAAGCAATCACTGCCCCCACTGCAGTGAAGACATGGTAAAACCCACACATGCTCCCAGTAGCAGAGACATCAGCAGCATCTCTTTGAGAAGCAATCTGGCAACACATCACATCTGAGAGTCGTCGAGACATATACACTCACACAACAGCCCTGCTCCTGGAAACTCACCCTAAAGAAACACTCTCAGAGAAGCGTGCTCATGAAAACACGCATTTATAAACATGAAAAATCCGAAAGAGCCAGAACGTTCCATAAGAGAACAGCACAGTCAGTCGATGCGACAAGAGGCTCTTATAAGAAAATAAGAGTTGGAGGCTGTGTCTTTGACAGGTACACAGCCTAAAAACACAAAAACCCACAAGCTCTGTGGGTGTCAGTCACACACGCATGCACATACACACACGCACATGCATCCTTGCAAAGACGGGAAGACAGGGGCTCCCTGGGTGGCTCAGTAGTTTAGTGCCTGCCTTTGGCCCAGGGTGTGATGCTGGAGTCCCGGGATTGAGTCCCACATCGGGCTCCCTGCAGGGAGCCTGCTTCTCCCTCTGCCTGTGTCTCTGCCTCTCTCTGTGTGTCTCTCATGAATAAATAAATAAATAAAGTCTTTAAAAAAAATAAAAACGGGAAGAGAGACACCAAATACTGATGGCATTGCTGGGCTTGTTGTAGGACTGGTAAGGTTCCCAATGTGTGCAGAGCACAGGAGAGGAGGGTTGGCCCTGGATAGTCCCAAGGCCAGGACTGAGGGACGCCCCCACCCCGACCTGACAGCCCAGCCAGGCTTCTCCACCCAGGCTGGGGGCTCTCTCCCTTGGGGTCCCATCCTGACATGCGCCGGGCCAGCCCCCAGCCTTACCCTCCTCCGTCTGGCTGCGGAAGTTGAATTGGGGCCTCTGGGAAGGCATGATGAACAGTAGGGTGGCCACAAAGGTAGCCACGGTGGCGTCAGATGCGTACCTATAGGGGACAGCACGCAGGACGTGCCCAGCTGGGCTTGGGGGCTGCCAGTCTACACACCTGCTCTGTGTCCGCAGGTGGGGCAGAGAGCAAGGACTGGGATCTCGAGAGCCAACACCAGGACAGCCACTCGCTGGCCCAGCTCTGCCCCCAGCGGGGTGACCCTGACCCGCCGGCCTCCCCGTAAGTCTGTGTGGCTCCATAGGCGTGTCCTGACCTCTTCTCATCAGACTGTCCAGGGTCCTGCTTCCCCAGGGTCCTAACCCCCGCAGTGCATCAAAGGCAACAGGTATAACAGGTGGTACCTCCCACCCCTGCATCGCCTGCCCGGCGAGGGGCCTCGTTCCCTCTGACCACAGAATGGCCGACCTGCCGAGAAGCGGCCTCTCCACGGGTCTCTGCACAGGCTGTGGGCCCCGGCGTCTGCCTTCGGAGGGGATGGACAGCAGCACGGAGGTTTGGAAGCCAGGGCTCCCAGCTTAGCTCCTGACTCCCGATCCCCACCCAGCCACCCTGCCTGCCCAGCAGGGACACGTCCACGGGCTTATTGTGGGGACAGGGAGATGACAAGGAGCTGCAGCACTCAGGCAGCACAGATGCACCCCCGACTTACTTGGTCTCGCCGTCCTCCCAGGCCAGGGACACCCAGCCGGGCATGAAGCCAGGGTCCCGGGAGAACCACAGGCCGACCATCAGGATGAAGCAGAGCAGGACGTTGGCCTCGGCGAAGGAGAAGGACCCCAGCTTCCGGTACTCCTCCCGCAGCACCTCATAGGCTACCTTCTCATGGTTCCTGCTCTGCAGCCCGCAGCCCCAGAACTTCCTAAAACTAGGGAGGGCCGTGGTGAGAGGCCAGTGGGGCAGGCTGGTCAGCAAAGCCAGGTGTGAGCCAGCAGCGACGTCCCATTGGTCCTGGGTCCCATGGCTGGACATGGCCTCCGAGGCCACCCATGAACTCAGGAGGGTACTTTCCACCCTGACGTTGCTTCCACGACCGCCCAGACAAGGGACCCAAGTGAGTATGACCTCCCTGGCCCCGGTGAGGGCATCCACAAGACCTAGGGGCAGCACCTACTGGGGCCCCGGACATAGCAGGCAGGGTCTGGGCCGGAGGACACCTGGCCACCCCCACTGTTCCAGGCTACCCCCACCCCCCCATGCTCCACGTTGGGTTGGCTGGGCCCATGAGCTGGAGCACCTGATGGGCAGCGTCAGCGAACAGCAGCCCTGAACATGGCCATGGGCTGAGCGGCCATGGGCTGGGCGGCCACAGCTGGGGGTCCTGACAGTGAGACCCTAGTGACCTTGGGGCCAGCCCAGCGCCCCCTGCTCGCTCTGCAGGGAGCTCAGCCCCGAGCCTTGGGGCTTCGGGGAAGCCGCCCACCTGAGCAGAGGCCACACCTGGTGCCCCTGACCCCTGGCTGCACCTTGGGCCCCCCAAGATAGGACTGTGTCCCCCACATCCACCCGCTGATGCCCTAACCCCCCCAAGTGCTGGCATGAGGAGTGGGACCTTTGAGAGTAATTAGGTTCATGTGAGGTCAGGAGGCTGGAGATCTGAGGGGACCAATGGGCACAGCAGCCATGTGGAAGTCTGTCCTGCAGAGATGTGTGCACAGGGCTTCCTCTGAGCTGCTCTGACCCACTGGCCCACACCTACTCCCCTGTGGGAAGGGCAGCAGCAGGCGGGCTAGAGGCTCTCCTGTGGGGGTGAGGGGTGGCAGGGGCGCAGCGGCAGTGCTCACCTGGACCTCATGTAGACACACTGAAGCCATAGCCACGCCAGCAGCAGCATTGCCACCATGTTGGGGAAGGCAAAGCTGAACCATGAGGCAAAGTTCACCACGTCCTTGCTGGCAGGAAATAGCCTAGAGAGGGAGATGCTGGTCAGACTCCCCGGCCCGGCCCCTAAGGGATGCCCAGCAGCAGACCGGCCCCAAGACCTCCCCACACACACACCACGAGCCTGGGGGGCGGCCAATCACCCTGCCTGCGGGTCCAGACCCCACGAAGGGCCTTGAAAAAGTCAAGGCCCCTCCCTCCAGAGGAACACGCCTTCCTACACACGGGAGCTGGGTGCCTAGACACTTCAGAGCCCGCACCCCAGGGACCTGGGGGGTCACAGGAAAGAGACCCTGTGGAGGTCCCCAGGGTGGACGGGGACCCCCACTGGTGCTGGTCGAGCAGCCCTCGTGCTACAGCCCAGCCCAGCCCTGGGTGTGGATGTGGGCACATCCGTCCCCACGCCACCCCAGCCAGCGTCAGGGAAAACCGCAGGCTATCATTATGGAGAGTCCTCTCAAGATCAAAACCGCCAGCATGTTGGGCCTCAAGTGTCTGCGGACTGGGCTCCTGCCCACCCCCAGCTGCCCCACCCGCTGGGCCCCGGCTCCTCCGCCTTCAACCAGGGACTCTGCAAGGGCTGCCCCATGGCGGGGTGGCTCCCCATGATCCCAGCCACCGCCCGAGGCCTGTGACCCTGTGTGGTCCCGGCAGGAGGGTGCAGACCAGCCCTAGGCTCCGGCCAGGGTCCACCGAGAGTAAGCGGCCACCACGGGGCACCACCGTTACCAAGGGCAGTGAGCCAGCTGTAGGGACGTCTATTTTCTGCAAGCAGTGACCCGGGACCAGCGTCCAGCCCCACAGGCTTTCCCACGACCTGAGCTCTGTGATGGGTATAGGGTCCCAGTCTGAGCGAGAGCTGGGGAAGAAGGGCTGGACGTGCCCCATGGCAGAAGTGTCCCACCCCTGCGGGGTCCTGGACAGCTGCTTTGCTGCAGGCCCCCTTCCCCCGGGGGCCCCTCCCATCCCCAGAAGGCTCACCCACCACTCACTCATGCATCTGGCCCAGAAGCACCACGTTGGGTCCCGTCCCAGTCAGCGTGGCAGTGCCCCCAATGCTGGCCGCGTAGCACACGCACAGAGTCATGGCCTTGCATATGCTCCTCCTGTTGCAGTCGGCCTGCTGCACCTCAGAGGGGCCTTCAAAAGTCACTTGGCTCCCTGTGGGGGGGGGCACGTCATGGGCTGAGCTGGGGCGGGCCACCAGCCGCAGCTCCCGACCCTGCCCTGCCCTGCTCTGCTGGGGGACGGGCCAGCCCACCACTGCTCCCCTGGGCCGCACGGTCCCCGTCCGTCTGTCCACGGCAGCTCTGTGGCAGGAACCTGGCCCAGGGACTGCTCTCTGCCATCCCTGAGCTCAGGGCCTCATCGGGGAGCCAAGGTGGGGCCACCACCCCACCACCCGCGGAAGCGGAGAGCTGCTGGCCCCCCAAATGGGAGCGGTGTGGACGGCGGGAGGCACACCCAGCAGGTCCAAGTGGGGAATCTGGTGCTTAAGCACCAATTTCTGTGGCTGGCAGGACCCTGGGACTCGAGCGTGGGACCTCGCCGCGAGCTCTACTGCAGGATCTAACTTTTCTGCAACAGTCATGTTCCTACAACTTACAGAAACAGCGCTTTCTGAGCATTTATCTGAACGCCTGTTCTCAGGAGGCTCCAGGCACAGAACTTCGGGCTGCAGAGAGGAGGGGGGCTCGTGGTTGCCCGGCCCCTGGGCTCACCTGGCAGCTCTCCAGCCTTGTTCTTGTCCGACAGCTCCAGGGCCCCCAGGCTGGCCTCGGTGGTTGGGCTGGTGGCCTCCATCTGCTGCAGCATGGCCTCCACGATGGGCACCATCATGGCCGTGGTGGCCGTGTTGCTGATCCACATGGAGAGAAAGGCCGTGACGCCCATGAAGCCCAGCATCAGCCTGCAGAGGAGGGGTGGGCAGGGAGGCCAGAGAGTCCCGCAGGGAGCAACAGTGGGGGTGGACTCTGTGGCCCTGCAGGGATGCCAGACACTGGGGCCCGTTCTGCCCGGACGGCATGGAGGGAAGCGTCACTGCAGGGCTGCCCCTGTGCCTCTCCCCTCCAAATGTTCCTGATGCCACACAGTCATGGCCATCAGGGACTCCCACCAGGAAGGACCACATAGCAACCCAAAGGTGCCGGCCCGGTGGGGACAGCTGGCCCCAGTGCCGTCCAGGGCTGGGCAGTCGGCCCCAGGGCCCACCTCTGTCACCCGCCCAACCTACTCCCTGTCCAACGGCCTCCCTCCCAGCACCCGGTAGCTCGGGCGGAGCATCCCCTGAACTGTCTACCCTCCACCATCTACCCTCCACCGTCCATCCTCCCTGGGATGGACACTTGTCCCCGGCTGGATCCAGAGGAGCTGTGTCCCTGGTAGGGGCAGGGTCTGACTCTTCTCCGTGGCTCAGGGCCAGGAGCACAAGGTGCTTGTGGGACCCACTCGGGGTCACTGGTCAGCCCGGGGCAGGGGAGCCCAGGGATGAACTGGGGGCCAGCCTGCTGCCTGGGTGGGTGGCCTGCAGGGACCTGTCAGAACAGAGACCAGGACTCAGCCAGGGTCCACATGATTGAGTGACACACGCATCTGGGCTCCGCAAGCCACAGGTAAAGACCCCCGGCCCCAGATGGGCAGTGCCATGGACCGGCCACAGGCAGGGTCCCAGGAGGAGCCGGGGCACAGGGAGTGGAGGAGTGTGTGTGACCTCCCTGAACTCACACCCCAGAAGGAGGCCGACCTGGTGGCAGAGAGGACGGCGACCCTCCCAGGACCCCGGCAGGACGTTGCTGAGGCCTTGAGGTCCCAGGACGCACAGTGGCTCTGCCCTTGACCCTGTGAAGCATCTGGGCTCCGACACAGGAGGACTCACGAGCCCTTCATCTGGGGTCCACGGGGGTCCAGGTGCGCGGGGCCCATCGCTGAGCGAGCTCGCTGTACCCCCCAGAGAGGAGCAGCCCGAGAACCCAGTGTGGGGAGAGGCTCAGGCCTGTGAGCCGTCAGCACGTCATCCGGCCCCATCTTGCTCAGCACCCAGGCACGCGGGTGCTCAGCACACCAGGGTGTTTGCTCACGTCAGGGCAGGGCTGAGCCACGTGGGGGAAGACGAGGCCGCGGCTCCTTTGAGGGGGACGGGGGTGTGAGGGGGTAGGTATGCAGCTTTGGAGGGGTGACCTCCCTGTATCCCCTGAGCTAGCTTGTTGGGCCACTCCCTGTGCTCTCCCCACAAAACCCCCAGGGGTGTCAGGCAGGGCTTGATCCAGCCTCCATCCACCCTGTTTCCTGGGGAACCTATCTTCTGAAGGAGCTGGTGGGGGCAGTCTTCACTGCCCCACCTCCCCAGCGTTCAGAGAGAACCCACCACTGCTCACCCAGGGGTCTCACTGCCCACCAAGCCCCAGGCAGCCCGCAGCCACCCTTGCCTGTGTCCCTGGGGCCCCAGAGAGAGAGACAGACAGAGACAGAGACATAGGACAGCGCTCACTGTGCAGGCTTGGCTCCCACCCAGAGGAGCGTGCGCAGCGCTATCCTCTTGTGCAGATTCCAATGCTCCACGGCCACGGCCATGATGAGGCCACCCAGGAACAGCATGTTGGTGTCCTTCATGTACTGGACACATACCTGGGGACAGCGTGGGGCCCGTCAGGCCCACCCCAGCCACCTCACCACAGGATAGGTGAGAAGACCACGTGTCGCCCATGGGGGCCCCTCAGCGCAGAGACGGACGGTCAGGCAGGTGGTCTGTGTCTCCCCCCTGGGGCCTAGGTGGCTCTGAGAGGGACTGGGGTGGGGGATGCTCACCTGCTTGGAGTCCAGGATCTTCAGGAGCGGGAAGAGCACAGCGGGCAGGAGGGAGGTGACTGCCAGAGGGATGACTTCTGTGCACCAGTAAACGGCCATGAGGATGATGACGTAGGCGCACCTGACAAACTGAGGAGCCAGCCCTGAGACCTCGTGTGCTGGCGGCGTGTCCACCACAGGGGCCGCAGCGTTGGAGGGAGCGCCCTCGCCTCCCCGCCCCTGTCAGCACAGCGTTGCGGCCCAGGACCTGCCCACTAGGGACCCTCGCCTTCCAGTGTAGCCCTGAGGAGAGGAGAGTGTGCACGGGGACCGGGAGGACTTGAACACAGAAGCCCCCCCGCGTCGAAGGCTCCCCTTGGTGGTTCTTCCGCCCTCCAGTGGCGCCAGAGCGGTTTGCACGCAGCAGGAGCCACCTGGGCATCCTGAGTGTGGATCTTTCCCCGGGCTCTCTGCGCGGTGCGCTGGCCTCATGGTGCTGGGCAGCGGCACGCTCTTCAGGCAAAGAGCACCCACCCCGCCCTTCCATTTGTTGCCCTCGACCTGGGTCAGGACTCCAGCAGTCACAGGAGACGCTTGACTGTCAAATAGCCTTCGTGCAGACGCATCACTGCAGGATGACCTGAGTGCCTGGGAGGCGCCCCAGGGCACGCATGCTGCGTGCATTTTCTGCCTGACAGGGACACAGCCCCCATGGCATCCAGGAGGACTTGTGCCATTCTTAGTCCCACGTGGGTCACTCTTAGAGCAGCATGTGCTCCACTGATTCCATAGACAGGTTCCCCACTGCCGCGGCCTCCTGGGGGGATGTGCTGTGTCTGCCCTGGGTCACCCCACCTGCTCCACTCACTACTCTGAGCCACTCAGACATGGCCTGGAATCCCACTCCCAGACGTGCAGCCGCAAACCCGCTCATTCAGAAAGTGCTGCTCCCGAGCATCAGCAGAGGTTTTACGGCAACGACGATGATGACGATGATGGAGGGGACAGAGGGGACAGGGAGGACGGGTGGACAGGGAAGATGGCACTCAGTGTTCTCATTTGCATCTCCATTCACTCAGGCCTGGACCTTCGTTCCCTGTGTTTAATCTCGGTGAACCACCTCCTGCACCCTTTCACCAGGAGCCCCGGAACCTTGGCTTTGCCAGGAGGCTGACCTGGTTCCCGTGCAAACCCATGCCTGGACGCTTCCTAGCTTGGCGGGCTTTGGGTTCCTGATGCGAGGTCTTAGTCCTGAGTTGGGAACCTCTGGAGGTGTGGGTAATGTTGGCCACCTCCCTGGGCTGTTCTGTGCGTCCCCAGCGTTTTCAAGGGCAGCACTAGCACCTGCCTGTCCGGCCTCTCCTGGCTCCCAGCCCCGCCACAAATCTGCCACCAATACAGCTCCTTCCTCTCACTCCCCAGCACCATCCCTGTGCATCTCCACCCCGTCCACCCTCTACCTGGACCCTTCCAACCTGACCTCCCTTCCACCCTCCCACCTGGACCTTCCCAATCTGGCCTCCCCGTTCACCTTCCACCCGGACCCTCCCAGTCTGATCTCCCCATCCAGCACTGCGGGGCTCCGTCTTCCCACCTACAAATCTGTTGGGGGCATTTCCCTGTGTCTGCCGCCTTGAGGACAAAGCCAAGAGGCCTCAGTATGGCTTCGGGGAACCTCTGCGAGGAGCGGGTCCTGCAGGCCTGTGCTGTCCCCTCCCTGCCAACAGGCACCCCGAGCCCCCGCACCCCACCAGCTGTGGCAGAGCCTGGGCTCTTCTCTTCACTGGCCGCCCAGCTCCCCAAAGCCCAGCCCTGCACCCCTCCACCCACCTGTGCCCCTGGCAGCTCCTGCCCTGGGTTGCCCCCATCTGACCCTACCCCAGCACACACCCAAACAGTGAGCAACCTGGGAGTCCTGGCACGGGCCGGACGCTCAGCAGACACTGCTCGTGTGTGTGAGGGGGATGGGCCAGCAGTACCCAGCTGTTTCCCTGAAAGCCAATGCACCTGCACCCCTCACTCTCCCATCACTCAGAAGGGCACCTACTGTGTGCACGGAACACTGCACGAAGCCCTGGAAGTTCTTCGTCGGTACTTGTTATCAGTCATAAAGCAGAAACCTCCCTTGGGCCTCCCAGGGGCACCCCGGGGTGGCTCCCTACTGTCCAAACCTGACATTTTGGCCCCAGTGGTTCTGCATGGAGGCGGGGGGGCAGGTGGGAACTGGGTAGGGCGCAGCCTATGGGCTGCCCTACTGGACGCCTGGAGAACCCTCTCCCGCCCAAGGGTCCTCCCTCCCCCACCCTAGGACTTATGGCACCCAGAGTCAAAAGTGTCAGAACCAAACCCATTGTACAGATGAGCACACCAAGGTGGAGAAAGGACAAGGTCGTGGCTAAATCCACGGGGACATGTGAGTGGTGGGAGTGCAGTCCTCATGCAGGTGGGCCCTCGACACCCTCCGCCCCCCCACCACCCCGCCTCAGGACTGCCCACAGAGCATCCCCTGAAGAGCTCCTCTGTTCCCCAAACCTGGCCGGGGGTGGGAGGTGGGGGTGGCAGCGGAGGTTTCCTGTCCGGGCGCAGAGAGAAGGCGCTGAAAGAGGGAAGGAGGCAGGAGCAGCCAGCAGCCACAAAAGGCTTCAAAGGGCTCGGGCCTCTGCCAACGGAGCTTCCACCAGCCAGCGCAGCCAGGAAGCCCAGCGCAGCCAGCCCCGGCCAGGGCTCCTGGCCCACCCCCGCCCTGCTGCCAAGGCCATTCATCCCAGGCCTCCCTCCCTCCTGGGAGCGCTGGGCGCAGGCGACCGATGCGGCTTCCCCTGCAGCCCTGGGTCGTGCCACCCAAGGCGTGAGCCTGGGAACGCATCCGCCTCCTACCCAGCCGCTGCCGACCTCGGCCCAGCAGCCAACTCCGACCTCCTTTCAGCCGGAGAGGCTCTGCGCTGGGCTGTGGTCTCCAAGGCTTTGGAGCAGGGAAGAAGCAGATCCTGGATAGGGAACCAGACCCGATGGGGGCAGGGTGGGGGGGGGTGGAAAGACAGCACTCCAGATCCACTCAGGGGGAGATCTTTCCGTTTGGGACCCCGGCTGGCCTGGGAAGCCACCCATGGCTGCCAAGTCTCCATTTGCTAAAGGGAGAGACGGAGGGAAAGCCAGGTGCCCAGGCTCCCCATGGGCACCAGGTGACATTGGGGGTGATGGGCAGGGATGCGATGCTTCACTCCCGGGAGGTTCTGAGATGGGGCTGAGCCTGCGAACAGCTGCGTGGCCAAGATCGATGCCACCTTCCGGGTCCTGTGCCCTGGGATCTGTGTGCCCCAGTGGGGTGCACCCCCGGGTCTCTGCGCCCCTCCAAAGTCTGTGCCGGCACCTCCCGTCTGGCAGCCAACCTCCCGGTGTGCGCTCTAGCTCAGCGCTCCACCTCTGCGCGCCGGGACCGGGGCCGCTGCTGGCATAGGGCGCCCGGGGTCCGCGGAGCTCCTACTGACCTTGGCGGGCATCAGAATGACGAGTGGCAGCAGCAGTAGCGGGGTGATGAACAAGATCACGAAGGACTTGAACTTGGAGACATAGTTGAGCGCTGAGGCCATAGCGCTGGAGGGAGGCCAGCGGGACAGGCGAGTGAGGGAGGCCCGCAGCTCCGCGGGCTTAAGACGGGGCCGCAGCCATCGCGGATTGGGGGACCGTGCCAACTCCGCCCCCCGCGCCGAGGCCTCCCCGCGGCCACGGGGCGGGGCCACCCCCGGGGTCAGGGGGGCGCGTCTGCCCCCAACTCCGCCCGCCACCCGGCATCCGCCTGCGGGAGGCGCTCGGGGCGCGCCCTGGGCCCTGGCACCTCCCAGCGTCTCCACCTAGACGGAGGCGCGCCGGGGGCTGCGGGTCAGCGGGGCTCCACTGGCGTGCGCCCCCGTCCACGTCCGCACCTGCCGCCTTCTGGGCTCAGCGGAGGCGATTCGGGACCCCCCCGCCGGCCCCGGGGTCCCTCAGAACGAATCCCGGCCTTTCCCTCCTCTTCCCCCCGTGTCTCCCGCCCCTACCTCCGCTCCCGTGTCCCGGAGGGTGTCGGCAGAGACGATGACGGCGCCCGCGCCCTCCACGCCGCAGGCCCTACTCCTGCCGGTCACCCGGTCACCCGGCGCTGCTCTGGGCCCAGCATCCCCCCAACAACCGCCCCGCGCGCCCCGCGCGCCCTCCCCCGCCCCGCGCGCGCCGCGCGCCCTGCGCTCTCCAGCCATCGCAGAGGGAGGGCAAGCCCAAGGTCCTCGGGCCGCCCAAGCGCCTTTGGGCTCCGTGGCCGCCCTGCAGAGGGAAACGGGCGTCCGGAGAGGAAGGGACCTGCCCCAGGCTGCGCCGGGTGTGTCGCATGCAGGTACTGGGCACCTGTTCTGCGCCTTGCCTGCCCTGGGTGCTGGAGACGCAGGGATGCACACTGCTCCTCCTCCGTCACTCTCTTCCTCCTTCCCTTCTCCTGGGCCAGCCGGGTCTGTCCCTTGGAGAGTCTACCCAGCCGTAAGTGAACCCCAGCCTGCCCCTTAGTGGTGACAGGCCTGTCTCCAGGTGACCCTGCTGCTAGAGCCGCAGCTCTCCCAGCCTGGATGTGCTGCGGGGACCCAAACACCTGAATGACTTTCCCTGTGACCCCAGGAGGTCCCCTGGCCCCTTCCTCCCCACTGCACCCCCGCCCTCAGCACAACAGTA